CACAGTGACTCCCAGTGTGATACAGAGACCGGAACTGTACACAGTGACTCCCAGTGTGATACAGAGACCGGAACTGTACACAGTGACTCCCAGTGTGATACAGAGACAGGAACTGTACACAGTGACTCCCAGTGTGATACAGAGACCGGGACTGTACACACTGACTCTCGGTGTGATACAGAGACCAGAACTGTACACAGTGACTCCCAGTGTGAGCAGAGACCAGGACTGTACACACTGACTGTCAGTGTGATACAGAGACCGGAACTGTACACAGTGTCTCCCAGTGTGATACAGAGACCAGAACTGTACACAGTGACTCCCAGTGTGATACAGACAATGGAGCTGTACACTGACTCCCAGAGTAATACGGAAACAAACGGTGCACAGTTCATGCACAAGTCTCATTATAAAGTTCTATGCAAGTTTAATATAATGTCTGGGATTTTCTATTCCACGTTTTGAATGTAAAATAAATCCCAGGGCTCTGCTTTTCAATATCCTTATTAGCCCAGTTTGTTCCTTCTAGAAATCTATCTGTCCCCCAGTTGACTTGTTTGTCTCGCCATAGTGATGCCTTTGTTATTTTTGTTGTTGACACTTTTAACTGAAATGGTATTGTATGTGGTTTTGGCACACTCAGATCACAATGTGGGAGACTGAGTCCAGCCCTGTTTATGCCTGTTTACTGCATTGCCTTGCCTGCCTCTTACCGATACAGAGTTGAGGTTACAGCACCGGAATAGGTTCCTGCCAATGATCATGGCGCATGCAATAGCCATCACCAACTCAGTCACAGTGAACAACTGTAACAGGATCACAAAGCTGACCGGGGCCATCTGTGGATGAAAGCACAATGACATTTACCTGCTTTGCTCATGACAGTCGAGACACGTAAGGACACTGACACGACAGGTGAAAATAAACATATGCGCATTCAGTAAAAAAAAAAGCCAGTAGTGAAGCAAGTGCGGAGGTTGACAATGCTCCCACTCTGTTTTTCTCTTCGGCAAGCTTGCTCCTCTAAGGTTCTTGCCCTTTCTCTTTCAATTTATATTGTGACATGGGGGAATAACTTTTTTTCCCTTTATTCATTAATGGGATGAGAGTGTTGCTGACCAGGCAGCATTTATGGCCTGTCCCTAATTGCCCAGAGTCAACCACATTGCTGTGGGTCTGGAGTCACATGTAGGCCCAGACCAGGTAAGGATGGCAGTTTCCTTCCCTAAAGGACATTAGTGAACCGGATGGGTTTTTCCAACAATCAACAATGGATTTATGGTCATCATTAGATTCTTAATTCCAGATATTTTATAAATTCAAATTCCACCATCTGCCATGGTGGGATTTGAACCCAGGTCCCCACAATGTCATCTGGGTCTCTGGACTAACAGTCCAACGATGATACCACTAGGCCATCGCCTCCCCCTCGAGGGAGATCAGTGACATGCTTCTCTTTGTCAGGAGGTGGAGGCATCTGGTGTCCTGTAACATAACCTGGTGGGGTGGGTTTATCTTTAACTCCTTCCCAGCTTCCAGAGATCCCAACTGCCTTACGCAGTCACGCCAGGAAAGCACTGCAGACCTCGACCCACCAGGATGGAAATATACAGCCCAATCCTTGGAGAAAAAGGTGATTGAAGTTAGTCACTGAACAGCAACCCCAGTGGACATAGTAGGAGACCCTAATGGGTCAATTCACTTTCATTCTGTGACGCGAGGCTAAGTAAGTTCTCTGGTGTGGATGATGTAAAGGGATGAGGAGTGATCTCAGTGAGACATGCATGATGCTGAAGGGCTGGATTGGGTAGACATTGAGAGATTGTTTCCGCTGATCAAGGAATCTAAAACATAGCGGAGAGATGACAGAGGGCTGATTATTTAGGACTGCAATGAGGAAAAATGTCTTCACTCAAAGGACTGTGAGCCTATAGAATTCTCTGTTGTAAAGAATGTGTCTTTTAAGGTTCTTGTGAAAGTTTGTAGCTCAGGTTGTGGATGAGCTTGTTGGCTTGCTCACCGAGCTGGCTGGTTATCGTACAGACGTTTCATCACCATGCTAGGTAAGGTAGTGCAGCAATCAACAAACATGTGAAATTAGACCCCATATACACTCCCATGCAGAACAGAACCAGAAATGACACAACCCAACTTAACAGACTGGATCACATAAATACCAAATGGAGTAGAACAACAATGCTTCATCAGAGGCCGCACTGATGATGGTACCTAGCATGGTGATGAAACGTCTATACGATAACCAGCCAGCTCGGCAAGCAAGCCAACAACCTCACTGTGCCTTTTGTTTAAATTTTGATCATGGATTGGAATGGATTAAGGGTCATTTTAAAATCCAAAGACTAAGGAAGGAATTGTTGCACTGTTGGAAACAAGTTATACAGTTATAGAGTCATACAGCATAGAAACAGACCCATCGGTTCAACTAGTCCATGTCGACCATAATCCCCAAACTAAACTAGTCCCACCTGCCTGCTCCAGGCCATATCTCTACAAACAATTCTTTTTCACATACTTATCCAAATGTCTTTTAAACGCTGTAACTGTACCCACATCCACCACTTCCTCTGCAAGTTCATTCTACACACAGACCACTCTCTGTGTAAAAAAGTTGCCCATCATGTCTTTTTAAAATCTTTCTACTTTCACCTTAAAATATGCCCCCTTGTCTTAAAACCGTCCACCCTAGGGAGAAGATTCCTGCCATTCACCTTACTTATACCCCTCATTATTTTGTAAACCTCGATAAGATCACCCCTCAACCTCCTATGCTCCAGTGAAAAAAGTCCCAGCCTTTTCTCATAACTCAAACCCTCCATTCCTGGCAACATCCTGCTAAATCTCTTCTGAACGTTATCCAGCTTATAATATCCTTGCTATAACAGGGTGACCAGATCTGCACACAGTGCTCCAGAGGAGGCCTGGAATTAATTGAGAGTTGCATTTACACTGTTGCTTTGCAAGCAGTGGGGGAGGGAGGGATAGGATGGCTCAGAAAATGGGATGGATATGCAGGATGAGTTTTGGCCAGCAACAGATTGCTGATTGGTTTGTGCAACTGTGACCAGTTATGGACACCGGATATCATCAGCCTGACAATAATGTTGTGAAGTTGGTAGAGTATTTGATGTTTGTAAAATGATGGGGGTAAAGAGTGTGTGGTCCCTTTAAAAGATTATGTGTTTTTTCCAGGCTTGGAGATTTTAAAAAAATGTGCAGGTGCACAGAGAGCTCCTGAAATTGAAATGTTATAACAAAAGGCTGTGTGGTTAACAACCCAGACAGTGGTTTGATTTGTTATTAAGGCAACCTGTTTGAAAATCAGCCAATGAATTTAAACCAGGCACTTAGAGACTAAAAACAATTACATTTAAATCTGATAGTTTGGACAACGTAGGACTAATCCTATTGTAAGAAATTGACAGGTCATCAAGGGTATAAAAGAAGAGGGCATTCGAAAATCGATGTGAGAGCAACTCCCATCTGTTAGAGTTAACCATCAGTCCTAAAGAGTAAATCACTAGCTCTCACAGAATTCTCTAAGCTCTCCAAAAACCATCATATGATTAAAGGGGTGGCAAGGCGGCTTAGTGGTTAGAACTGTTGTCTCACAGCACCAGGAAGCCAGATTCGATTCCACCCTTGGGTGACTATCTGTGTCGAGTTTGCACATTCTCTCTGTGTCTGCATGGGTTTCCTCCGGGTGCTCCAGTTTCCTCCCACAGTCCAAAGATGTGCAGGTTAGGTGGATTGGCCATGCTAAATTGCCTATAGTGTTCAGGATGTGCAGGCTAGGTGGGTTAGCCAAGGGAAATGCAGGGTTACAAGGATAGAGTAGAGGGATGGGTCTGGGTGGGATGCTCTTTGGAGGCTTGGTCAGTATGAACTGTTGGTCCAAATGGCCTGTTTCCACACTGTAGGGGTTCTAGGGTACGATAGCACTCTTAACTAATATTCCTGATACAAGAATTTGATGGAGAAAGGTGTTCCTGACTGAAGAACAGCAGAGAAGGCACCAAACATTCCAGAAGACATATCCTAGCTGTAATTTCGAGAGACTAAGTTTTAATTTTTTTAAAATTTAATTTGGTTTATGTAAGTGGGACTTGTATTTATTGGAACAGCACACCGTTAGAATCTTGTTTTATTTGGGAATGGTTAGTAGTTAAGGGGGAATCATTCAGTTTATTAGTAGTTCTGTTAATTTGTTCACGGTTAGAGTTAGATAAATAAATTGTTACTTGTTAATTATAGAGTTTGTTTCATTTAACCTCCCCTTTATAACAGATTGGGAGGTGAGAGGCAAGTTATACCAGTTTTCACATTCCCTTTAACAGATTACGAAGTGAAACGAGCTTCTCTAGGTGTTTTGGTTTTCGTTATTCGGGGTCGGGGGAGCGACCTCTGCTTCATAGCAATGAAAACTCAGAGTGGTTCCTGGGTCTGGACAATATAGAGACAAGGGATGTCCAGACTGGAAGAAGGAGAGTCTGTTTCAATCTCTCTGTAGCAAAATAACTCAAACCTGGAACTGGTCACTTATTCTCTCCCACCATTTGCTATAAGTTGTTGCCTCAAACCCGTGATTGTGAAACAGAATAATTATTGTGCCTTCACAAAAAGGTGAAAGAACCTGGAAGGAAGGAAAATGGAAGATATAAGGCCTTGGGAAGAAAAATGTCGCCTCATCTGTGAACTGGTGCTATTGAACTGTGATTTCCCAATACTTTTTTCTTCACCCATTGTGCCATTTTTTGTCTGCATGTAGATGTGTGGTAATAATTCTAAAAGAGTGTTAGTGTAGAACTGGTAGAGTTATGTGTTGATAGTTCAGAGCTGTTTACCTGTGGTTAGATTTAAAGTTTAAGTACAGGATATTGGTCAGTGTTTAGTGTTAAACTGATTCATCAGACAGGTAAATTAGGGACTTTGTTATTTTGATTAAATTATTAAGTTTTGTGACAAATCTGGAGAGAATCAGCATACTTTCCAAGTGACTCATTATACTATCCCTGTAGATGCTCCATTGTTGAATACATTTAAGGCTAGGGAAACAGTACTGAAGGGCAGGGCAGGCTTTGATTAGCTGACTGGCCTACTCCTGCTCCTATTTCTTCTCTTTCCCTCCTTATTTGCAACTCAAAGATACTTCCCAATCTGAAGAGAGAAATGAATTCAGGTGCCCTCTGTGTCTCGGGAAAACTAGGATGGTGTTTCAACATTACTCCTATAGCGACCAAGGACTATGCTGAGGCGCAGTTGCGGAGGTAGTGGTATTATCATTGGACTGTTAATCCAGAGACCCAGATAATGTTCTGGGGACCTGGGTTTGAATCCCGCCATAGCAGATGGTGGAATTTGAATTCAATAAATATCTGGAATTATGTATCTAATGACGACCATGAATCCATTGCCGGTTGTCGGGAAAAAACCCGTCTGGTTCACTAATGTCCTTTAGGGAAGGAAACTGCCATCCTTACCCGGTCTGGCCTACATGTGACTCCAGACCCACAGCAATGTGGTTGACTCATAATTGCCCTCTGGGCAATTAGGAATGGGCAATAACTGCTGGCCTGGCCAGCCACACCCTCATCCATGAATGAATGAAGAAAAAAAAGTTTACTGTCAGCCTTACTGGTTTTAATCAGGTGGGCTCCTGTGTTCTTCAAACTCTGTTTGAGGGTCTGGACATCTAACGTAACTGGAGGAACATGGGAGTGTTGAAGGGACATCTGATCATGGAAGATATTTTCTCTTAGTATACTGGATGGCCATGATCTCACTGAATGCCATAACAGAGTTGAGGGGTTGAATGGCCTCCTGTTGTTCCCATCTTTGAAGCCTTCGACTCCCTTTCAGCCTGTAACAGCTTTTAGCATCAGGGGTTCAGCATTAAAATCCTAGATTTAGTATTGCTTTGAAGAGGCAGATAAGGAAATGTCACAATTACGTGCCTGGAACCAACTGTAAACTGAGTTGAATTGAAATGAATTAGCTTTATGGTCACATGTACTCAAATGAGTATAGTGAAAAGTTTACAGTCGCTGCATTACAGCGCCACCTTACGTACAAAGTTATCTAGGTACAGACACTTAAGATCAAATTCTTAGGAAACATTAAAAAATTATAAAAGTAAAGAAATAAATAGTTCGCCATTATCATATAAATAAACTAGAAAAGTGATCCGACCCAGTGCATATCAGCACCCAGCCTCAAGGGAGAACTTTTGCCTATGATGCCTGGGCTTTCTCTGACAGTGAGAAGTGTCCTGACAAATGGGAACTTTAGCTTTTTGATCCATGCAAACAGGGACTGGAGAGAGCTATATTGGTGACTGGCCTGTCATCAGCAGGGAGTGTACATGTACAGAACCGAGGCACTTTGCCATCCACTTTGCAACTCAACCCGTGCTGTCTCCAGCCCTCCATGATCTCAGCACTCCTTCAGTTCCGATCTTCTGAGCATCCCCTTCCATTGTTGCACCATTCAGCTGCCTGGGTCCCTGAATGCAGGAATTCCTTCCCTTAAGGCTGACCTCTTTAACTAGACATTTGGTGACCCCCTACCACATGGCTCATTGGCAATTTTGTCCATTGGTCACTCCTTAAGTGTGCCCTGGGATGTTAAAGACACTGTAGGAATTAAAACAAGAAATGCTGGAGTTCACAGCAGGTCAGGCAGCATCCACGGAGAGTGAGAGCAAGCTAACAATTCAAGTTTAGATGACTTTCATCAAAGCTGGAGTGAAGTGTGGAGGGGACAGCATTAATGCTACAGTTTGAGGTCGGTGGGGGGTGCAGTGGAGTGACCTTCAGTGACTACTGTATAAATGAAAGTTGCTTTGGAACATTTCAGTCTCATTGGGGTGATCCTGGGAGATGAGACTTTCAAGAGGGGACTCAAAATGTATCTGTCATAATCAACCTGAAAAGTCCAAGCATACGAAATATTTGTTTTAATATTGCTGAGAAAGAGCCTCACTGGATCAAGCATTTTGTCTTGACCCCATCAGGACAGAATCATAAGAATACCAAATCTTAAAAGGAGCATTAATTTATGCTGCATGAGAAGAGGATTTCCTGATTGGCTGGCAAGTGAACTCTGATTGGTAGAGGCATTGTCATGGAGAATGCACCGTGGAAGTAACTGGTGTGGCTCTTTCCTTGGCAATACTTGCAGTTTTGATTAAAAATTCGATATGGTACAAGACTTGCACTTACTGGCCGGCGTGCTCCATGGTAAAAATCATAATAAACCAATGGATAATACAGGGACATGGAATATGCAATAATCCCTAGTCCTGCCATGACTGCACTGATAACATTTGATGCAAATACAACCTTCACCTGCAAAACACACACAATGATATTAGGGAATGTCTCCTGAGAGGCTCACAGAGACATCATGCAAGAGTAGGAAGAGCCTCTTTTTTATATACACCGTCTTGTGGCTAAAGTACTTTAGCAAAGTGAAGTTACTACGGAAAGCATGGAGAGTGGCTGCCAATTTTCTTCCATGAACAGCAAAGCATTAAGTGACTGCATCGTTTGTTTTAATGCCCTTGGTGCTGGAAGACAAGGGAGTACTCCAGTTCACTTCAATTAGAGTCTGATCACTACCTTGTTGATCTTTGTGGGACCTTGCTGTGCAGTTACTACCATGCAGCAGCAAATAAATAAACTTCCTAAACTTGCTTCAGTAGCTGGGAAGAACTTTGGGATGTCCTGAAGCGATGGTATGTTTTATATAAATACACATGTTTGATTCCAATCAGTACAGAGCTTGTTATCATTTTGTTAGAATGTCTTGGTGCCACAAAATTGTCTTTGGTCGATTGTCTTATCCCATCAGGACAGAATCACAAGAATACCAAATCTTATAGGGAGCATTAATTTATGCTGCATGGGAAGACGATATTCCGATTGGTTGGCAAGTGAACTCTGACTGGTAGGGGTATTGTCACAGTGAATACACCATGGAAATAACTTGTTCGACTGGTGTGACTCTTTCCTTGGCAACACTTGATGTTTGGTCAAATATTAACCTGAAGTTAATGACAGTCACTTTCATCTCCCCTCTTGTGTTCAGCTCTTTTCTCCAAACATATGAACATACATTTAAATTAGGAACAGCAGTAAACCCCTCAGCCCCTCAAACCTGCACTGCCAGTCGAGAAAGTCATGGCTCATCTGATTAACCCACAATGCTGCCTACTCTGATAACCTGTCTTATCAAGAATGTAGCCCCCTTGGCCTTTAAAATATTCAAGCACTCTGCTTCCCCCACCTTTCACCCTCCGAGAAAAAGATTTCTCCTCACCTCTGCTTCCCTTCTTGGCTTTACCTGATTTACAGCTATTTTTGGGATGTTACTTGGAAGATCCATAGAGAAGACCAATAGAAAATATCTGTTCATTTCCTCTGCCATTTCCTTTTAATTATTAATTCTCTAGACTCACTTTCTCTCAGACCAAAGCTTGCTATGTTTGTTCTGTTCTAAAAAATCTTCAGAAACTCTTATTATCTGTTTTAACATTTCTAGCTAACTTTCAATCATTTGTGAATCTTTCCCTCATTAATTGTTTAGCCATTCTTTGCATTTCTAAAAATATTCCATCCAATCTTTTGACCCGCCACTTAACTTTGCGTAATTGTATGCTTTTTCTTTAATTTTGATACCATCTTTATCTTTTTTTAGTTAATTACAAATGGTGTGTCCTCCCTTTGGAATTTTTATTTTTCGTTGGAGTCTACCTGTTCTGTATATTCCTCTTGAATATCTGCCACGGAATCTTTATGAACTGGTTTCAAATCTAATTTTCTGGGTGATTTTAACTAGCTATGCTTTTGTGTCCTCATAACTGTCAACTATTAGTCTTGAACCCAACTATTTGTTCCCTCAAACTGAACGCAAATTTCAATTGTATTATGATTACTGTTGCCTAGAGGTACCTTCACTGTGAGAATACTAATTATTCCTGTCACATTTACAATATCAGGTGCTGTTCCAAGAAACTCTCCTGATAACATTTTATGAACTCCCTATTTGGCTACCTTTACGCATCTGATTTTTCCAGCTCATATGTAGACTAAAACACCCTTTTCTAAAAGGCTCCATTTATTTCTTTCTTCACACTGTATCCCTCCTTGTGGTTACTGTTTGTGCTCCTGCCTACCACTCTCACAAATGGCTTCTTGCATTGATCGTTTCTGATCGCTAACCAGACCACTTCTAAGTTTCCTCAACTGAGCTCATTCCTCATGATTGTACCAACGCTATCATTTATTGAGAACGTAACTCTCCACTTTCTCCCAGTTTGTTGTACCCGTCAATATTAATTTTATGCCATGCTGTAGTCTCTACCTGTGTGTGTTTTACCTATTGTTCTAACCAACCCATTCAGAGATGTTATTAAATGTCTCTCCATTTTGAGCAACACTAGGAGGAAGTACTGAGGGTGGTAAGGGCACAGAATGTCCTCTGGGTGGGGTCTTCAATGTCACCAGGAGTGGCTCGGCAGCACCACTACTGATCGTGCTGTTTGAGTCCTAAAGGACATTACTGCTAGATTGGGTCTGCAGCCGGTGGTGAGGAAAACAACAAGAGAGAAAAACAAACTTGATCTCATCCTCTCCAGTCTACCTGCTGCAGATGCATCTATCTGTGATAGTTACGCTAAGGGTGGTCGCCTTGTGGAGGTGAAGTCCCATCTTCATATTGAGGCTATGTTGTGTGGCACCATCACTGTGCTAAATAGGATAGTTAATAAATTAATTTAATTTAGTTTATAAACTAATAACAAATGTACAAACAAATCATAGACCCTATGACGTCTCACAGCATTTGGTCAAACCCCAGCCCCCACAATGCCCTCAGCTGAAGAATTTGCTGAGGGCAGTGTGGGAGTTGGGGTTTGACCAGATGCTGTGTGAGACGTCATAGGGCCTATGACATCTCCCAATGCTAAGGATGCCCCAGGACAACTCCCTCCCACCTGTTTCTCACCTCTGCTCGGCCTGTCCTACCAGTGGGACAGGGTATGCCCAGGGGTAGTGACGATGGTGACTAGGACATCGATTCCCTGAGTTATGACTATGTCAAGCTGTTGTGTGACCAGCCTGTGGGACAGCTGTGGTAATGAGGACTTTGTTGGATGGACAGCACAGGGTTTGCTGTTGTTTCCGGTGCCCTAAGTTGATGCTGGGTGGTTCTCCCACTTCTATCGTCCTTTGTCTTTGTGCAGTTTTAAACAATGGAGTGGTTCATTTGGCCACTTAACAGTCAACCAGATGTGGAGTCATGTGAAGGCCAGCCTGAGGAAGATCGACAGATATTCTTCCCTATGGGACAACAATGAGCCAGATTTGTTTGTACGGCAATCCACAGTGGTCTCATGCTCACCAGTACTGTGATGATCTTTTGTTCCCATGTTTACTAATTACTTAAATTTCAATTCCAACAACTGCAGCTGGATTAGCTTACCTTACTCTGGTGATTTGCATTTGCAAACTCAAATTTCCCAGCAAATACTGACCTTGAATGAGTTTGATACGTCCTTTATTTCAGTTGTTAATGCTCCTGAAATGATGTACTGTGAAGGAGATTGACAGAATAGTTAATATTTGTTTGCAGACACACAAAGCTATCTCAGTCCACAGTGCTGGCCGTTATCTGCAAAAGCTGAGGCTACATCTGCACAATGACTGCACAATGATTTCTCACAGATGGTAATCTACTTTCACTGTCTTGTGTTCAGTACACAGGAAGGATATATTGGTACTGGCAAAAGATCACAGGGATTAAAAAAAGGCTAAATCCTGAGGAAAGATTGCACCTATCCATGCTTGTACGTTTCTAAATCCAACTGTTTGGTGGGGCTAAAACCCTGGAATTCTTTTCCAGAGGTAGGGACAACACCACAGAGCTACCAGGACTAGGCCTGTATTCTGAGATTAGAAGTTTAAGGTGTCACGCAAATAAGGAATTTAAGATGCTTAAAGGAACAATGGAGAGGGACTATTTCCTTCAGTAAAGCCACAGAAGGTGGTGAACATTGCAACTAGAGCGAAAACATTCAGGAATGATGGTGGGAAGCAATTTCTCACAGAAAGGTGAGTGTAAGTCAAAGATTCACCATTCCACCATTCCCGCCCCACCTAGATCCCCAAAAAGACCAACTGAGCATCAAGTGAAGCTTTCAAGATTGAAACTGGTAAATGTTTATTGAATAAGGGTATTGAAGGATGTGGAGTAAAGTCAGGTAAATGTAACTGAGATCCAGAACTGAAATTATCTGATTGAAAGGAAGAACAGGTTCAAGGGGCTGAATGGGGTCCTCACGTTCCAAGTAACAGGCTGGAGAAGAGGCTGATTGGACTTCCTCCTGTTCCTTTGGGACAAGCTGGAGAAGGGGCTGAATGGGCCTCCTCCTGTCACTGTGTAACATGCTGGGCTAGGGACAGAATCCACAGGTTTCTGCTGGTGTTTCAGGCTGTTAGAAACATGTGCTGTATCAGTTTATTTATTAATACACCGCAAGACTATCACACTCACTCACTCACACAATCACAGTGAGGACTTCAGCTGCTTGCAAAACCCAACAGAAATTCTCTGACCATTTCAACCATCAAGAACTGGCAGACATCCGTATTTCTGTGCAATGTGACATCAGGAAGAGAGCCGTGGGTACCAGCACACATTTGTAGGTGAGGCCTTCTGTGCCATGAGGTCACTTACACTAACAGGACCTCATTCCTCTTAGTCCAGCTGCCATTGACAATACAGCATGGAAAGTAGGTTATACAGTATCACCACAGCACGCCACTGCTAATTCACCCCGAGCCTTCCTTCTTCCCCTCTCTATGAATTGCTTTTTTCCCTTGTGTTTATCTGGTTCCCTTTAAACACATCAACGCTGTAATTCTTCAACCACTCCCTGTAGGAGCGAGTTCCACATTCTCCCAACTTGCTGTGGAAAAATGTTTCTCCCTAATTCTCCTATTTGATTTTTTGGTGATTATCCTGTGTTAATGTCATCAGGTTTTGTTTCCCCCCAAAACAGGAAATACTCTCTGCCTGCCTACTTGTTAAAACTTTCCTTAACTCTTAAAGAATTCTATTATGTAATCTCTATTTTCCTTTAAGGTAAATGTAAGGTCCTATAGGGCTGCTTTCTCATAGAGGGAGAGATGACTGATGGTAAATTTAAGCTGAGGGTCAGTACATCTCAGGTGATGGATAAGGTTGAGAAGGTGGAAACATCATAGTAACCTCAGCTAGTGCAAGGATTGAACCTGCACTGCTGGTAATTGCAAGCTGGCGATCCAGCCAACTGAACTAATAGATA